GTGGCTGTCATAAAAACTTGATGGATTTATTCAAACATAAATTAAACATTGAAGAACAGTAAAATTTATAATGAATAATATGTTATATGGTGCATATATTTAGCAAAATGTCCCTCTATACAGTTTATTTTTCTATCTGACTAATGAGTTTATGGTCACCGAATATGTTTTTCTGAGGTAAATGCGATGTTACGTGACATTGTTTACAAGCCGTTATATTGAGGTCTTTGCACGGCTGAAACACTGATTGAGCGATTACCAAAGCACAATGCTTATTGCGATATATTGGATGGGAAGTGCCCTTCAACGTTCTGTCCATTAACTGAAAACATGCTAGACTAACTGATTCTTGGGATTTAAGAATCGATATCGTTCCATAAAAATGAGAATCGATTAATATCGAGATAATGATATTTTTTACCCAGCCCTACTTTTTATGCATGTTTGTAGTTCTAATCAAATCCTCATCCAACACGCAATGGGTTGTGGGCAATGTTAGCCGTTAGAGTACGCATCGATCTGCACTTCGAATTCTAACCAGAAATAGTAAACTATCCGGGTGCCTTTGGAATACTCATTTCAACCTACTACGATTTGGGACACACTAATTCTAATTTCAAATACTATTTTGGGAAGGATAGTATGTGAAATGGGATGCAGCTTTTGACTCATAGTGCATAAAATGAACGTTCCCCTGCCAATTGTAAGTAAATAAGTTAAAGAACAATGATACCACCTAAACCATCATAATTCTAACCATCATAAAAATTGTGACTACATGCAAAAAAAGTGACAAAAGAAATGTTAAGAAAAATATTTCAACCAATACTGAAATTTATTGATTAACATAGTTAAATCCAAAATGGACTATGTTTATTAGGGATGTAACGATTCACTCAACTCACGATTCGATTTTCTCATTATTTTTTTTAACAAAATGAGATTGAAGACAAATTATACAGTAAATGAAAAGGTGTCCTTTTGTTAGGCAATTGCTGCACGTTTCTTTGTAATATTGAAATATAACAAAACTAAATTGAAATTTTAAAACAAACCCCAAATCAAATAAATAAGATACACAAATAAAATAAATCTCTTCATATAAACAAACTAAGGCTTTGTCTGTGCTCTTTCCATTTAAAATTGGAAACTGCATTTTAATCATGATCCAAAAAAAGATGCTGCATACATGCAACATGATCAGTTTTTAATCTAAATTAGACTTTATAATTTCGAAATTTGAAGCAAAAACAGAATGGTCTGACTTCAGTTTTGTGAAACTCTATATAAAACATATCTGAATGAAACGGCAAACGATCTGAATGAGACGCAAATTCACTCTCTGCCAGCAGGTGGAGCTTATGAATAGCAATGATACAGTGTTTCCTGGGTTACCGCTGTAAACAAAGCAGAGCTGCGCTTATGAACTCTATGTTAATTTGCATCGTGCAGAGGCAAGATGAAAAGAAAATGCCATCTAAACATTTCTAAAGACAGTCAGTTCCCCTCAGAGATACATTCATATAAACTCCTACCCCAATTGTATCACGATTTGTTTAGCATCTCAACCGATTTGAATTGTCACAAAAATCTATTGGAATCAATTGTATGCAAAGTCTTAGGCCCAATCCCAATTCTACCCCTTACCCCTACCCCTCCAACCAAAAGAGAATCGAGACACCCCTACCCCTTCACGTGAATGCGTGAAACGGAGGGGTACGGGTGTCTCGATTCTCTTTTGGTTGGAGGGGTAGAGGTAAGGGGAAGGGTCAGATAGCCCTTCAAACGAAGATTTTTCGGGACCACACTTCAAATGAAGGGGTATGAATTATCTCAGCGTAAACCGGCTTCAGGGGCAACATGGCTGCCCGAGCGAACAAAAAGACACATAAATGTAAGCATTTTTGGCATTAATAAAGATTTGAACGAAAAGTAATCATTTGTTTTATGTTACATTCAATCATGAGTTCATATTTACGGTCATGTTACTCAAAGAAATGTTTGCAAAAAATCGCTAAAGTTTGCTAACGTCATATCATTACAGACTGCACGATAGTGCCACAACATATTTTCATGTCTGATCAGGGCGATAACCACCATAGACATTGAGGAGGGCTAGTACCCCCAATAATTATAAATCACTAAACCCTTTCCTCAAATATTGCCAATTCGAGAGAGAGACAGAGAGAGAGAGATGAAAGTTGTGTGTATGCGCGTCTGTGCGTTTCTCTTTTTAGAGAAAAGTTACTCTCATTGCTGGAAAATATAATGTAGCGATTCAGTATTTAAACTGATATTAATAAAAGTCGTGGGGCAGCGTTGACAAGTTTCTTT